CACCCACACACACACACACACACACACACACACACACACACACCTCTGACGAGATAGGGGAAATGAAAGAATCCGATAATTGACAGATATGTTTTGGATTCAGTTCAGACAATTGTTTGATAACGACAGAATATGTGTGGTACTCCAGTTTTGATTGTCTATGGCAATACCCGTGGGCAAACAAAAGAAAAACAAAATCGATCATTTAAACAAAATTGAATTTCAAGTTGTCTCAGCGATCAAATAACAGGAGTGACGCCATGGAAGAGAGGTATGAACATCACTGTCTGAGTGTGTGCCAGCAGAGATCCATTTCAAGGTTGTGAAACCCGCGAAACGGAGAACCAGATAGGTCTTAAATACTACGGGCTTAGGATTGAGCGGTGCAGTGATCATGATCTCGAACTAAACATCATCTCAAATCAGTCAGTGCATCAATGAACAGTGAAAACCGACAAGGTTCATTTAGAGATAGACGCAAAACGACTGAGGTAGATGTATGGGGGTTCGAAGTGCGATCTTGAACCCGACACGACCACCCAACTTTAGTGGTAGCAGCAGCCTTGCTGCAGTCGGGTTCAATACCATACCTAATCTAGCAAGGTTTTTCTGTGGTTCGACAATACAAGTCCCAGAGGTTAGGTTACCAGTTTCCAGCCCTGAACAGCCAGTTTTTGTGACTATGGGGCCCACTCCGTCTGCTAATCATACAAATGTGCGTGATAAAAAATGTGTCGCTTCAGTATTATTGATTCGCTTTTCTCATAGGGTACAGAAGATGCTGGAATCACATCATTGTTTCGAAACCGAGAAACGTTTCCATCTTTCGTGCGTAATATGAACATTGGCCAACTCCAACAGCAGAGTGACGGATTCGCTACGGAAAACCGAAAAAAATGGAGGATGCTGTTTATGCATCACAGATGATATGGATCGTGAAAGGTCAACCGAATTCACGGTACAGAAGACAAGACGAAATTCTTAGGACGCTCGTCCATGGACAAACAAATTAACAATCGGAAACATTAGTTTCAGTTTGTACCACCATTAACTATGCACTATCTTTTGGCTGCCCATTTGGATGAAGCAGCAGGAGAAAGACTGGAAAGTTGAAAGTAGAATCGAAAAGAAAATTGAGAATGTCAGTGAACTTATGTTGTAAAGAAATTGATGTGCACAAACATCATTGTTTAAGACACAGCTTTATCATTCAGTGTCTCTAACCACCGGCTACGATCATCCCGAGTTTCCCAGTCAGGGAGCCTAACGGGACCTATGTGACCGAGTCTCCTGATTTTAATACCCTCTTGCCAGGTCTTATTTTGACCGCCCTTGGCTTCATTCCACCCACCACCTGCCTCGGCGAATATCGCGCACCGTGGCAGCCTATTTGGTGACATGCGTAACACGTCCCAACCAATAGAGCTAGACCACTTGCTCCAGTGGGCGACCGCATTCACCCAAAACTCTGCACCTAACTACTCCTCGTTCGGTTGCCCTACCAGACTCGTGCAATGCTGCGTAAACAGCAGTGTTCAAACACCAACAGTCTATCTTTATCCCGTTTTCATAATGGTCAAGTGTCTGTGCCGTATATCAGAAGTGGCCGAACTGCCGCAGCATATACGAGACCCTTCACAGACAGCCGGATGTCGTGATGGCGCCACAGATGTCTCAAGTTGGCAAATGTCAATCGAATCTTCTGTATGCGAGCCGACACTTAATCCGTAATGCGTCCGCCAGATAAGATGTAGCTGCCCAAATAAAAAAGTTGTCCACTTGGTATATTACTCCCCCAGTTAGAATGAGGGGAGACATTCAACTCTGAACACGTTTTCTGCATTCGTTCAGAACAGAATAGTCTAAAACAATACCAGTAGATGGGCGGTGCACCATAAAAATATAAGATGATTGTAATGGTAACATATATCTCATTTGGACGAAAAACTAAGTAATAATGATGAAGAATATTCAGCAACTGTTGAGGTCAATTTTGAATGTTTAGGAAGATAAAAACGGATTGTATGATCATCAGCAGCAGCAGCATCAGTGTAATCACGTCCAACGAACCACAAATAGCAAGGCACCTAACCTGATCGACATGGCGTAGTCTATTATTGAAGCCTGACTATTAGTTTGACCAATAAGACAACAAAAGTCGGGTCGAGAAAGTTCACCTCCGGGTATATACAGCACGGTTGCAATCAGGAGCCGGGTCAAGCAAATACGACGAAACACTATGACCAGGACCAACTTCGTCACGGCTAGTCTGGTCGTTTCATCAACCGCATTGTGTCAACGGAGATCAATTATCTGCGTTCAGCTATATCGTGCATAAATTATTAAATACAGATATGATATATGACAAATGTAGTGCGCGCACATACACATCATCATCATCAAGATAATCTGTTTATTCTTTTTCTTAAACATCCAGGAATTTGGGAGTAACTTCCTTTTGTTTGGAGGAGGACGTCTGTGAACTGTCCAGTATCCTTTGGTACCTAGGGGCAATGAACAAAATTTTTGTCAGTAGGCTCTCCATTTTATTTGGTGCATTTACCGCCAACTCCATCGGTCGATCAGAATGTCGTCCGTGTGTGTCTGTTGAGAACAGTGTAAACTTGGATGAAATTGATAAATAGCAATTAATCTTTTGCTTAAATTTGACTTTGTGAACGTCTATAACCTTGTGTTTGTGTTTCCTCCGACGGATTTAGCTGGTTCGCATTTGCTCGGGGAACAAAACTAATTGGTATCAGGGAGGGACATGATTGATTGAAAATTTTCGTCACTTGCGATCATTGAAATCATTACTTTAGTTCCGATTGTCTTAGTGAAGTTCAATTACATAATTCAGATTGATGACATTTGTTTCAAGCATGCCTACAACTCGTGTTACTGGGATATTTGGATAGAAAATAAAGTGAGTTTAATCTATGGTTGGATCTCGCCTCCCACCCCCCTCTCGTCCTATTTATGGTGCACAGTATGATATGCAAATTGCGCTGATTCCTAAAGTATTCTAAAGTGTTTTGAACTGAAAATTGATCCGTGCCAAACAATTACCATCATCATTCATTATCTGTCCTGACCAGAATTTCTTTCTCACTGAATCTTTTTTACCCGATTTTCAAAAGCAGCTGCTTAGAAAATCTGATCATCTGATTTGGTTGATTAAATGTACGCGAACCAACTGTGCAAGTCCATGGTAAGAGTGAGAAGCGACAATAATTCACATCCCTTGCCCAGCGATCGGATCGGGAACAAACTCAGGGGGGACAGGGGTTTCTAACTAAGGTAACAAGTGGATCGATGATGTTATCAGTGTAAATCAACATCCACTTTGATGTCAGAGCTACGTATCAAAAATCGATTTTAAATCAAACCTCCGTGAATGTAAATTCTGTAATGGTACTTTACACTACTCGCTTGACTAAAAGAGTGTTGTTGTACATTTTAAACATTTTTAATCACGAAAAGGATCGGTCATGTGACTTGACCCTCTAGTCCTACCCACTCCAGTGATGTATTTCGCCACCGAATTCAGCAGCAAACCGTGCTTGGATTTTAGGCGATTCCCAATATAGAAGTTTATTATCGGCTAACGTTTATCCGCTCGCACTCGCGTGGGTTGTTTCCGATCGAACTAACCCTAGTTTCACTGATGTGTGTCCGGTGTCCGGAATGTAATGCGAGTAGAAAGTGTATCTTACATCAACTGCTGACTCCGCCCACACCCCCAACCTAAAAAACCCTCGCTTAACAGAAAAGTAAAGGGAATTCTAGAAACATACAATCATCCATCTGCACTCAACTGTCCATCAACCCATTTGTTAGTAGGCTGGTGAGTGAAGCGATGCGACAGCAATCTTACAACCGTTTGGCATAACACAAGAAACGTTTATTACTATTCAAAAGTTTTGACAAGTTTTATGCGATCACGTCACAACAATACCGTGAACACCACAAAGTAACACATTGTTAATTCCAGGAAGTTAATTAATTAAACGTCTCAATTGATTACAATCAGGAGTGTAATCATCCGATCCTGAAAACAAGACAACCAATATGGCAGATATCTTTAGATGTGATGTCGAAGAGGTAAACATAATGTTCAATCTGCAAGTCTGACAAATGCCAGACAAGCTTTGGATATACCCGTAAGGTAGCGAAACCAGTTAATCAGTAAGATGAGCGTTATTTACAAACTGCGGTCAAACTGATTACACGGTTCCCATCCTGGAAGCCTAACACAATCTACGTATATGGCCCAGTTGCGTGATTGGGGTATTGACAAACTCTTATATTGACCGCCCTTGACTTTGTTCCAGCCACGACGTGCCTTGACAAACATCGCATATCAAGGAGGCCTATCAGGTAATATACGTATCACAAGCCCCAACCATCTTGATTTACGAAGACCTAGCAGTTACTCCAGTGACTGATCACGATTCCTTAAAACTCTTCTCCTGATTCCAGGCATTGCTTGTCCGGTTGACCCAGCAAGCCAGCATAGATAGCTATGTTCGAACACCGGAACTCTATTCACACTCACTTCCCATATCGATCAAACTTCTGCACAGTATAGCAACACCGGTCAGATTCCTGAAGCATACGCTCGACAACGAAGTCTCACGGTGATAAATGCTAGACAATCATTCCTTTGGCGGGCCGACACATCACCCGTTATGCGGCCCACAGGTGAGATACAGTTATTCAAGTAACAGATTTCATCCTATTTATCCGTGACTTCCCTAGTGAGAGTGATGTTAGCAGATCAAATGAGAGAACACCACCCAGCCTGGCTCAGTCGGAGACCGATAAAGGCAGATGCGAGTGCGATTACCATACCTNCTCCGTGAATGTGCGGGAATCGATCCGTCCAATCCATTTACTAACGGAGATCCGGTCAAAGGATGTTAAAGCCCGATTGCTATTTATAGCAGAGGCGATAGCATTTAGAATAAACAAGCAGTTCAAAGTTCACAATACACAAACAGTTCGTTAAATCCCTTTCCCTACCATGGCCATATGTCCGAAGTGCCCCCACTTAACACTTCAGTCAAATATTTACACTCCGGAAGGGATTATCACCAATTATGCAATCAGTGTTGAAACATCTCCCTCTCTCCCAACCCCTCAACTCCTATTTTGCACATACTGAAACCCTGATTTTACCGCCTCTCGTGTTA